CTTTTTCTTGCTATAATTATTATTATTATCATCACCTTCGCGATGTCTTCCCATAGTTTTGAAAGACCTGGAAGTTCTGACAAACATTGTACGCAACAAATCCCAAAATGTTGGATGGCCCAACATCAAGAATTTTACTTTTAAATGCATATGTTGAGACTTAAAATTTAAAATTCAAATTCCTAAACAGAGTACAACACTAGAAAATAATACGTATTTCTTAAAATTTTTACTGTAAGAGAAAAAGTTCTCAAAACATAATTTGGATGCTTTTTTTTTTTTGAATTACTCGCGCTTCGTTTCGTTAAAAGTTGTACAAAGTGATGGCTAGTCTTAGTAAGATAGAACTTGCAGCACTATAATCTCTAATAAATAATACGAAAAAGTATATGCTTTTGGAGCAGCTCTTGTTACTAAAGCATTGATATTACTTTCTATCGTTGCTCCGAGGTGCGCTCGTTTTTATTAAGAAAGGAGCGAAAGCTGGCGTTCATTTTAATACTGAATACCAGATTAGAGCGGTGTCCCCGATGCTTTAAACAGTACTTAAAGAATTTTCACATTTATTATTGGAAGTTTTAATTGGATTGGAAGTATACGAAAAAATAGTTCTTTACCAGCAGTCCGAGATGTGTCGAATGGCATTTCATTTGTCCCAAAGCCCGAGCCTAACTGTGTGACGGACGAACATGCAGAGATATCATCTACCGAACTGTAGAATAAGTATCTTGTTGATATTGAAATGTATTACTATTGATGGAATATTTTTCTATTCCGGAAATAATCCTGCAGTTCTTCGTCGCAAGAAAACAACGCACTCCAAATATCAGCTATGATTATTTCACAAATGAACTCTACACCAATGAGGTTCAAGAATGTAATTCCTTTTGTCATCTTTATTGAGCGTTCCCGTTTTATCACTGCGACATGCAATTTACTTTATACTCGTAGTAACACATGGTTGAGCATTCGTCCATCTTCGTGACATGTACTTTCCTTAGTAGATTTCTGCAAGTTGATTAGTTGTTAAGAATGAATATTGTTGGTATTAATGTTTATTAACAGCCGTATTTTTATTTTCATTCATGAAATTTCAGATACATTTCAACGCGTGAGTCGTGTATTGGAATTCTCCAATACAGTTGCCTGGAAATGTTTCCGAGGGAGGTAACGGTGCCTTATCCCGCACTGACAGTAATAGAATTCGGTGACAGGCTGTGACCCTAAGCGATCCCCGTGGTCTGACGGTCCCTCTGGTGTGCGTCCCAACAAATGTGTTGTCGAATTCGCTCCGAACCGCAACGCGGTCACTGTTACAAACTGGTGGCCTCGGCGGTCATAGTCGTATGACGTTTTGACATTCAGTGCGTTAAAATTGCAGATGCTATGTTAATTGGGTATTTTAGTTAAATATGTTTTACGTCATATTTACGAATACTCAGACCTGGCGCAAAAAAACATCAGGAATATGTTAAGAATAACATTACGAATCTTTTTTTGTCATGGCGGTTTTGACGACTTTTGATTACATATTATTAGCATTTTTCTATAATACATATTCAGAAATGTCATAGCATAATGTCACCTCTGTAATAATATCCTCTGTTATATCTTCGATCTGTCCAAAAAATCGTTCAACTCATTTTTTACATTTTGTTTTTTGAGCTCTGAAAAAGGTTTTGGATGTTGCAGGCACGACTACAACCTTCTATATTTTTTCTTGGGCGTTTATCCAACCAACAGCCGGTTACCTTCACGTCCCATTGGGACACATATTCGACCAAACACTAGACACCAATACACATGCGGGCTCTCGTGATCTGGAGTCAGAAGAACGCCAGACCCTCCGCCGCAACACGTACGTGTCAAGGAACAACCACGCCGGGAAGGCGGGACTCGAAACCGCGACCCTTCGGACCGAAGCGCTGTGTCGGCTCGCTCTCTAGCCACTTCGGCCATCCAGCTTCGGGCAGCCCCTTTTATAAATAACTGGCTATGTTAGGAAAGCGCGAGTGGAATGTGCTAGCGGTCACTTCGTCAACGACCTTCCTTCATTCCCTTCCTCTGCGAAACCCCACGTCCCGCTGTAGTTCTGTGACGTTGCATTGCGTAAAGAAGTCTAACATTTTGAAAAAGAAAAAATAATTGCTAAAGTCATGATATTCTACAGATGGGAAATGAAAAGTAGAGATAGAGGATGTGGGAAAAAATTAAAATGAACTTTGTAAATGAGAATTAAGAAGAAAGAATTAATAAAACGTTTTGTTACTACGTTAGCTGTACATTTCATTTCTGTATTTTATTTTATGTGGCACATAAACGGATCAACAATAAATATTTTCATGTAGTAGCATTTATTTATGGCCATTTGCATATGTTAAGTCGTTATGGGAACTTCAAAATAAGAAGCAAACAATTTTTTAGTAAATCCTTCCACTCTGTAGAATTGGCGGACAGAAAACAGCAAAAAAGACGCAAAGAACTTTAACACCTAAATGCAAGTTATGTGACTCCTATAAAATTGCTCATATGAATTTCTTTGCTCATAGGAAAGAATAAAATTCACATCACACAAGCGCTCAATCGCGTATCCTGACCGGTCAACACATCTTGCATGCACATTTGCGTGGGAAAACATCTAGTACATTAGAAGTGTCCTCCGTTCATGTAATTGCACGAGAGTGCTAGAACGACTATGCTTTTCTGAACGTCTAGTAGCACAATTTCATTGTTACTTATTACAGCAGCATTATCAGGGGCAACAACATTTTCTACATTACACACTGAGATTTTGTAGACTTCTAGTTACAAGTAGCCCTACAGAAAACAAGTGTGCTATAATGACACAAACTTTCTCTCGTTATGTGCAACTGCGCTGCAAAATTACAATACTGTACGAACCTGCAAGGTTTCAACCAGCTATTTTTTTCCGCAGCCAGACTCGAACTCAGGTCCACCGAGTTAACTCATCGTGCGGGCTACCGCCACCATGAATAGCTACTCTGAAGTACCAACTCGGCCTGACGCTTAAAAATCTCATTGTCTCGTCCAAATATTTCCAACACGCAATTTTCGAAAATTCATAGAGATCAACTGCTTTGAGTGGGACTGTGAATAACAACGTTTACTTAAAACAAGAATGACTTGCGATGCCACGCTGACACGTTAGACAGCCTATCCACCAATTGACTGCATTTAACAGAGTCGGCATTGTGGGACTTCATGAGCCTGGTTGGTCGTGCAATTGTTAGGCATGTAGGCCATTCAGATGTCACAGTGACCGATGTTGGAATCAATGGGTACAAGAGGGCACCCTTGGTCGTCGTTCAAGCTCGTGGCAACCAAGAAACAACCCCAAGGGCGGACTGTTATGTGGTGTGCCAAGCGGAGGGACGTCGGCATCCGCCAACATGTACTTGCGACTCTACAACATCCTGGGCATTCTCGCACAATGAGTGAACGACTCGCATCCACCGGATTGAGGTCATATCGTCCCATGCGTCCGTTGCTATTGACACAGAACACTGACTTCGGCGTTGGTATTGGCACCTGCCCGGGATGCATGAATGGCGTCGTCTCATGTTCAGTGGTTCGTCGCACTTCGCCATGACCTCCGATGACCATCGTGATAGTGTGGCGGCGTGAAGGGCAAACGGCACGTTCTATTGTGGAAAGACACACCAGGCGTAACTTCGGGCATCATGGTATGGGGATCCATGGGATGTGCTTTCAAATCACCTCTGATAATGTTCGGCAGATTATATAGAGAATATAATATCCTTTGTTAGGGTACGGCTCCGGCATTCTGCTTCTAATGAACGGAGATACCACGAAAAACTACCGATCTGAACAGCCAGCCGCCAAAATTCTCCTCCAAACTGACTGGAAAAGGTGACTCAAGGCCATGAACTGATGTCACTGCAGTGCCTCTGATCGGGAGGTCCTAAGGTTCGAATATCAGGGTTTTCGGTACTCGCTAGCTAGACAGCTTGATAGAATTCAGCCGCTGTCTAGAGAAGACGTATAGCGACCGGGTGCTCTGATCTGTGGTTTTCCGTGGTCTCTTCCATTAACACAAGCCAAAAGCCGGAGCAGTACGCTAACAAACGTGCCACGAACTGAGAGGCAAAATTTCCTTCCTCTCCCTTTCCTTATCTTCACCTCTTGCTTAAACATACTTTCACTCACATGCGCTTCACTTTTTCACTCGATTGTAGACCAGTCGGGAGCTTAAATAGTGCCCCTCTGGTATGAGATAGTATGTGGTTGGAAAACGTCTAGACAAGCCAACGTAGGTCTGCGCCCTATCTCGCCATCCAGCAGGGGTAGAATACCGCCACCTCCCGCGATAAAAAACATTACTATACTTACGGGACTAATAAATAACAACTAGCAGTTGACAATCAATTCTCCAGACGACTCAACTCGATCTATGTGGCTAATGGCGAAAAATCGTTACCACTAGTTACCACTATAACATTAGAACCTCAATGTCAGAATTGCTGCACTGGCAAAAGTTGACGTTCGTCGAAACCGTTGCGTTCTAACTTGACCTTTCTCAGCGTCGCGATGTGTCGGTGAGGATAAAGCCAAAAGACTGAGATGCCCTTCCAGGGGGCGCGTAAACCATCACGGTAAATTCAGCGATGTAGTTAACTGCACAGACCAAAAAATTAAGGCTATTTCTTTAATTAGAGAAATTACTAGTTTTTGAATTTTTAAAATTAATTTTTCTGTGTTTGTCGTACATATGAGAAATTATTTCACAAACCATTGTCACTTATCATCCATTATTTTAATTTCATAATTAAATTTGTTCAAAGAATTGGTTCAACAAGGTGCGTCCAACAAGGTGACGGGCATGGTAACAATTATGTATATTTTAATTTTTGTGAATATGTTCCTATAATTTAGTTAATTTCATAGGATAAACTACTTGTTACGAAACAAGGAATTGACTTATTTTATGTTTTTCAGGTAAAGGATGTTCAAAGGACGTACAGGTAAAGGACCTGAGACAACAAAGTTCAACAAATGAGTTTGTATTCAATTTCAGAGTAGATGTTTCTGCTATTACCTACAAAGCTATGGAATACGCTAAACAATGCACTCCGTTAGGAGAATACACAGGTACCTAGGCGTAAGGCACAAAGTTTCTCCCTGTTGGAGTTCAGAGGCATGGAAGTATTAAAATAGAACACTAATCGTATTTTGATCTCTATTTCAGTGCAATTTCTTTTGTCAAGAACAAAATTAGTTTTCTTCTATGGGTGAGTACTTCATTTGCCTTTGCTGCTAATTTTCGTGATATGTTGCAGTGTACACTCAACATTGTTGACTCAGATTCCATTTATATTAAATGCATTTGCGTCATTTATTTCTAATTATCTTAATCATTCGTAAATTTGTTCGCATCTTTCAGTTCATGATCTTTACAGAGATTCTATCAGCGATCTCTATGAAGTATATCTCAAAGACTCACCAAAACTGGTCGACCATGCGCGTTGGAAAAAAGATCTACCGATGGCAGTTTATACCTTCGGTTGGCTCAGTACCCCTATCAATGAACACTCTCATCAAATTGTCAAAGGTGAGAGCGATTAGAGAAAGTGTTCTAAAGAAACGATTCGATTTTACTAGAAAACTTACGATTTATACTAGAAAATACGATAAAAAAGAAACTAGTGGTGCAAAAAAAGGAAAATATTTCCTCGCAATATTTATTCCTTTTGACTTTTTTGATCATTCAAAAACATGAAGAAGAAACGTGCACCATTTGTATAAGAGACCTTTCTTCTATTAAAAAAATAAATATACACAGTGGGGCCATTTTTAAGAAAATATTTGTTGAAATTGCCTTTCTTCAAGCAAATTCCTACGCAGACTAGATGTGTTTAGAAAACAATTGAATTGAATTGAATTTGCCTTATTGTTATTAATTAACAATGTATATTGCCTTATTTAAATATCTAAGTTTTAAAATAGATTTCATTAAAAAACATTATTTCATCAAAGTTAGTTTTGCACTTTTTGTAATTTTTGAAATTACAAATAATTTAAATAAAATCAGGATTGCGACATTATTAAAGTGCCCTACGTGATAATATCTAAAGATTGGGCTTTGAGGAAAATGTTGCGTTAAGACAAAAAGTTTTAACTTAAATATTGTAGTTGTAGGAAGGCCCAAAAAATAACATTTTGTGGTTTTCGAAAACTCAACGACTTCAACTAAAATAAGACACGCAACATTATTTTAATGTTTTAACCAACGAAAAAATAATTTAAAAAATTGGATCCTCTTTTGAGAAAAAAATGAAAATGTTAAGACTATGTAAAGTACCCTCAAAATTTAATATATCTTTTTTAAATTTGTAGGGCTTTGAATCAGGCCAGGTCAATTCGAGAATATAAATTTTGGGGAAAATCGTTTGAACGGCGTAGGCGGAAACATTGACCAAAGACACTCGGCGACACGGACAGACGTTTTGCCATAAACCAATTCTTCGCCATCGAGAAATCACAAATCTGAATTCTGTCTCTATAAAATTCAGAAAAGGGAATTTACTACCAAAACAATAAATTTATTTTCTTTTTCTTCAAAGTACTCGTACATACATGTTTTTCAGGGTAGAGAATAGATGCATACATAACTTTTGGTTTATTTACTATTTATCGGGGATCTGGAAGGTGCGTTAAATATTTTGGTTTGTTTTAGTAATTTTAATTTTTTGGGAAGTTATTTGAAACTAAAGAGAATATCCGTAGATTTTGTTGTAGAGTTGAGGTTATATCATTTGAGGCGGATTTGCTGGCTGCGGATATATTATGGTGGTATGAATCTGTCTTCAGTGAAGAGCGAGTTTTTGTAGGCTCGGTTCTATTGTACGTCCGAAGTTAAATATGGAGGTGCTGGAGGTTGAGGAGAGTGATGAAAAGAATTCTTCGAACTGTTTGAAAATGTGTTCTTTCATTGTAGGAATTCGCAGTTCGTGGTGGATTTGCTTCTTCAAAATGAAGAATGGAGATTAACAGCGCTTTATTCTGTATGGTTTGCAATATATTTATATTATATTTGTCTTCATTTTCCCATATAGGGCATGCGTACGTAATTGTTGATCTAATTATCGATTTATAAATTAGCGTTACGGTCTACGTTTTAAAGAAAGATTTTTCATTAATTAGTGCATAAATTTGGGACATTTTTGCTTTTATTGTTGTTCCTGTAGTGTGATGGTGTATTTTTCAATTGTTTTGCATCTAGTTGAATTCCTAGATACTCTGCTGATATTTGACTGGGAACCCATATTTTTATAGTGTTAACATTTTTGCTTCCTTTTTATGTGGATTATTTTATAATTCTCCAAGGTTTATCCCATTCATTGAATGTGTCCTGAAGTTATTCCTAGCTGTTATGACGTAAATCGCCATGTTTTGTAAAAAGCGAATTGTCGTCAGCGTAGAGCGCTATTTGAGAGTCTAATAGATGTGGATAACCAGAAATACATAAATTGAATAATACTGGGGATAATTGGAAACTTTGAGACACTCCTGTTGAAATCTGGCGTCAGGTTTCGTAATATTTAGTGTGTTGTAAAGTGGTTAGGTCAAAATTCAGAATGTGGATCAGGAATTTCATGTGTGTTCATCTGAAATTTTATTAATAGTTTTAAAATCAGTTTCTCAAATAGTTTCGAACAAGCATATTAATCTATAGTTTGCTGGATCTTTGGCATTTTCCTATGATTTACGGAAGCGCAGCATTGTTGCAATTTTCTAGTCGTTGAGGAAGTAACCTAATTTGAGTGCTGCATTAAATGTTGCTGTAATAACTTCTTTCAGCTCATAATTAGTTTGTTTAGGATTTTGTTTGATATAGCATTGTATCCTACTGATTGCTTAATTTTTGATTTCTAGTTTAACTTTTGGTGGGAAGATGAATTTTATATTAATTGGTGCTGTATACAGAGGTTTCTGATTAAATTCCACGATTTCTTTATTAAAATGTTCGTTCTCGACTGGATGTGGGTGGAAAGACTTTTCCAGGTAGTCAAGTGTAAAATATTCTTTTTTCTATATCTGAATTTCGTACTTCGGAGCCTAGTTTGATTTGTAGAATTTATTGTTTTTGTCTTGTTCTCTGTACAAGAGAGTGTCGAGATGATGGGTGAATTCCTTTTAAGCATGGAGTGCACTTCGTTTTATTGTCGATAAACATTCGCGTGTGTCTTTAATAAGACCTTACTTCGCGGGACAGATTACACCAGCCTAGCTACGGCCCTTATCCCTAGAATAGATGACGGAGAAAAAAGAAGAGAAAATTGTGTGTTTTGTTGCTCTATATAAAAAAACAACCAATTAACAACTTTATTTGGTAATCAGTGGGATCGTACCTATCAATCGCCGATTCATGTTCGATAATCGATCCCCACGACCCCTTGATCATCACTGACCCCCTTGAACATTTAATCGACCCTCACCCGTTGAGAACCTTTGTCTAGGTCATTAGCGGATTGTATGTTGTGTGAAGGTCTGTAGTTGATTTTTATAACCTCTCCGAATTTAAAACAGTCAATGTTACTTTGTTGCTGTTTATAAAAAGACGAAAGATAGTGAGGATGAAGTGATATGATTATTGGATTGGAATTCGAGAGGAGTTCTGGAAATACGTTTTGATATATCAGGATATCAGTATTTTTTTGTTGAGAATATCCAAAATCTCCGGAATTATATTATTGTTGTAAGAGTAATGGTTGGGTTCTAAAGGGACCAAAATGTACAAATGGAGGGTAGTAGCTAGTAGATTCAGTAAATATTTCCCTCTGGGGTTGTCTTGCCAGACCAAGCGTTGTTTTTGCAATAAGGTCAACTATTAACATTGTTTTCGTTGCTTTTAACCATTCTGTGTATATTTGTCTAGAAAATATTTTATTAGAAGGTTATTATACTGCTATTATGGTTTTGTCTTTGTTATTAAAATTTTGTGTTTATTGCGCTATATTCTAGGTTGTTGCTCGCAGGACTGTTAATTAGCGAATGATTTATATCTTTACGCACTAGTATTGCTACTACTTCTGCGGCTGTCGCTGAGAGGGTCGTTACAATAATTGTTTAAGTCTGGTACTGAAGCCTTGATTTATGGTAGCAGGTGAGTTTCTGAAACAAGCTTTTTTAATTTCTCGGTTACGTTTACTTTCTCGGTATACAAAGTCCTATACGTAGGAAAAAGACAAAGTTATGTGCTACTACGAAAAATCGATTTGTAGGTTTCAACAGACATACACATTTTGGAAGCCCCTCGTACCAAAAACGTGTTACTTCTTTCTCACGTCTTCTTATAAGCAGTATAGATAAACTGTTGTAATGTTGCGAAAAAAACGGCGAATTTTTCACACAAAAACACAATTGCCATCTCCTGGAAATTAAAAAGTGGGCCAATCTTCTTCATACGAATAATACTTCCTCAAACACATTGTGTACTCAGAATACAAGTTTTGTGGGACTTTGGTACTGAAAACATTTTTGACGGTAAAATTTCAATAACGTTAATCCATCTGTCTGTCCGTATGTAGTCAAAGATGATGTCAAAACCGTTTTGCCATATTTAAACAGAATTCATATTCCGCAATCAATTCAATGGAACTTGGGCCCTCTCATAGTTTCAAACGGATAAGTTATTGGAGCACAGCCTTTTATTGGGGATCATTTTTGGGGGCACTTTACATGAAACCACATTTTTAAACTTTTCTCAAAAATGGTTCCAATTTTTTTATTAAACTTTGCTTTTGGATAGCGTGAATAACGCATAGGTTTCATTTTCGTTGACATCCCTGAATGTTTGAAAGTTGCAAAAGTTCAAAATTCATTTCGGCATTGTACAACTGCAATATTGAATGAAAGAAATCTGTTCTTTAACGACAGATCATCACGATCAATAAGGTCAAATTCAAGTTTAGAAAATCTGAGTAGTTATGGCGTAACTTTGTGTGAAATATAGACAATTTTTAAAATTATAAAACGATTATTTTCTCAAAAACGGCTCAATTGTTTTCAAAATTTATCTTCGTATCTATCAAAAAAGGTAAAAAATGGTCCTAGTCTCGGTCCTGTTATTCGCACTGCTTTGTAGCGTACCACCGCAACGGGGGCTTCAACCTGGTGCTGGTGGCGTGGCACGAGAGCGGCACCTTCCTGGAATACGGCGCCGCCGTCACCATGGTGCCGCGCGTGGGGCGCGCGGTGGCGCAGGCGCTGGCGCAGCTGCCGCCCTCCGTCACCATCGGCCACCTGGTGGGCCACAGCCTGGGCGCGCAGGTCACCGGCCACATCGCCCGCAACCTGCCCAGCCGCCCGCGCTTCATCGTCGGTGAGCGACACTTTCATCCGCGCGGAAACATTTTCCCTTTCCAGCTTCATCTTAGAACTACATTTCAATGCCTTCTTATTTATTTTCACCTGTAAAATATTCTAAAACATATTTGGAAATCTTGATATTCGATAGGGAAAATGTTTTTGAACCATCTTCCAGTACCACCGTCCTCATTATTTTCATCTGGAGATAATCTTGTAAACTATTTTTCACTGTCTTCATTATCATTATTTACATCGCTATAAAATTGAAGTAAATCACAAATTGCCACATTCCCACGAACTTCCCGGCAGTTATTTCCTCCGTTTGAAGTGTTTGTCCGCAGAAAAAAACAACAAAAACAATAGGACTTCTTCATGACGTGCAACACAAGCACAATTCAGCAAATTTGCAGAGAGATAATTCAGAAGGTTTCCTTGTTAGTAATATGTTTGAAAAATGTTTCACTAGAAATAGGTATGGTTACTTTTTCGCCAACCTTGCGTATGAACTTTCATCAGAAATTATGGAATAAAAATATTTCATGGTAGCAGAAGCAAAGTTGTTTCGGAATAAAAACGGCACGTCTTCGTATTTTAGTATTAGAAATCGAATTTCTTAAACTGTTAAGAGAAAGAATAGAAAAAATTGGAATTTTATTACGTAGTGAAGATATTAATTCAATATTACGTAAATAGTGTAAAATGAAGTCAAAGGTGTAATATTAGAATTGTAATTATGTAGGAGAAATATTTGGCAGAGGACTCGATCGTCCACTATGATGTCGTAGCGGTGGCAACACTGCCTGGTAAAGCAGCAGAGAGCCATGACGAGAACGAGTTGAAAGTCCGGTGAATGCAAGTGGAAAGCGGGTTCGCCGTAGTTTCCTCTTAGTTCTCCCGTTTGCCCTGCCACTCGATGAACAACCATCGTTCATTCCATCTAATCACTATCATTATCTCATTCACCGTCCCTCACAAGGAATCATGCAGAATTTTAAGGGGAAAATGGCCCAAGATGTGGCTGCTCTCGAAAAGCCGTGAATCAATCATCATCATGACAATAACTTCTCAATTTCAAGACTCGTTATGTGCCCAATTTACTTACTTTTCTTGACATCATACATCCCTCTGTAACTAAAGACCACCATGAACTTAATAGGTTTACCTGAATTTTGATCGAATCGTTGTAACAGTCTTTGTAGTGATTTGTACTTGCTTACAAGTTTGTACTTGCCCTGTCATGTAAAGCCCTGTGAGTAATAATAGTAATGTGTTTTTGCTGCTAGGCTTGGACCCGGCGGGCCCGCTGTTCTACCCGACCATGTTCGGGTGCCAGGATCCGATCTCATCGACCGACGCCGACCACGTGACCGTGTTACACACAGACTGGTCTCGGTTGGGCGCCAACGAGTGGACGGGCTCCGTGGACTTCATGCCGCACGACGGCCACCGCCCGCAGCCCGGCTGCAACAACATCAACAATCTCGGTGCGTTCAATATGCCTGTTTCCAACGCCCCGCTTGCACAGGTCAAGTTATTTTACTTGTATTCAGAGTGTCGCAGAATAAATGCTTGTAACTTTTAGGGCGACTTTGAAAATGATCACGTTTAGCCAGCGAGGAAGTGGTGTGCAATCTTATAAAACAGTTACACAAAATGATATTTGCCTTTGGCAGATCAAATTTCACACGTATTTGTAAGGTGCATGAAATCTCTGACTTCATCACTAAAGTAACGTAACAGCTAAAAATCGATAGTGAGATACGCAATCTCTATACCTAACTTACAAAGTCTGTCCCCAAAGTTTTTTTTATGCGACTATAAGTCGCAGATCTGTCAGACTAGTTTGTGAAATTTAGCCTCCAAAGGTTCTTATCTCAGCTATCTCCGTGTCCTTGTGAGGTTAGAGCGTATCAGTTTGTGAGCACCTGTGTAGTATTTGCGAAGGAGAAATCTTTGAGTCAAATATTCCCGATCAAGTTTATGTGAAGCTGAACAAGATGCCGATGGAAACTTTCAAGATGTTTCATACTACGTTTTTGGACACTGTTATCACTGAAGATAAGCCGGATCTTCGAGGCCGACCCGGAAACAAGTGTGTCACACCCCGGCATCTCCGCGCCCAAGAAGGCTCGCGTGAGCAAATCGCGCATGAAAGTACCTCCGTCAAGCTGCAACCCCCACTTGTTCGAAATTCAAAATTTACTAGCCTATAATTTTGTTCTAATTATGTACTAATTTGCGACCACAATTAAACATTTTGTGCTCAACTATAAACAATAAAAAAAACACATCCAAAGTGGGGGTGCGTAAAACACTCAACCAGTTTCGGCACCGAAACATACTGCGTAGAAACGAACGTCCTTTTTCCATCCATTTACTGTACAGAAAAATGATGAAAAAAGAATGCAAAAATGACCGTGTATAACAGACTTAAGGTATTTCGTAAAAGAGGACTTAAGTATGAATAAGAAAGTATTTTCACAAGAAATTACTCCTACAAATAAATTTAGAATTACTGCAGTTCTTAAGCTGGAAGTAATTCACATCATGAAATGTATTGCTTAAAAACATGTTACCACATTTGTATAAGTCAATTTTGACTGACATCACTGATTCGTAAGTGAAGAAACAAGGCAATAGTAGAATTACAAGCTTAATAAAGGGATTCTACCGTGAATGCCTTTTGCACATTAATCGTAATATTTTTTTTCTGCAATCTCTCTAATGTTGTCACCGAAAAAGTCGGATAGCAATAGGATGTTTTCCCAAAAATATTAGCCATATATCTTGCGGTAAGATACTACGTTCACGAAATGTAAGTAACAAGCTGTATGGAAATTGACAGAATTAGAAAAGATTAACATCATAAGAAATGTAAAAATGTCAAATAATTGCAAAACCCATTTTCGCACATCTCTCCAATGCAAAATAAAATAAAAAACTGTGAATTTAAAAATTAGAATATCGTATCTTTCGTAGTATCTATTATAATATTTAATCTCCTAAGCTTTGAGTTAATGAATCTATTTCTTTCTTGGCAATAACTATAACTATTCTATTTTCATCAGCTATGATAGTATTGCTTTTCAAAAAATGTGTTTTTCATATTTTTTAGCGATACTCTTCCACAAGAGTTACATAAATATAAAATTTCTTGGTTCTACTCTTTTACACTGACTTAACAATATCCATTACTTCTTACAGATATCGACAAATCTTCTGCATTTGGCTATGCTTTCGCCTGCAGTCATAACAGAGCCATTATGCTGTTTGCCAACGCTATCAGCAATTCTTCATCGGTTGTGGGTACCCAGTGTTACTCGTATGCCGCTTTCACGAACAAATTGTGCCAGAACAACCCGAAGGCCTACCTAACCCAACCCAGCGAGTAAGTTCTCAGCATACAAGGCCAATTACTGAGCTCCACCTCCAGCTTTGTAAAACAGACATCATGAACGTCGGTAGCCGTTTGGAATTTTGGATGCACCAACTTCCCCGGCACTGACTTCGATAGCTGACTTTGGCGCCCTCGTGCCTATGCCTCAGCCTCAGCCTCCCGGACTCATGTCCGGAGGTCAATTGCGTGTTTGCGCATACACTGGCGCCCAGTGAGACACACAGACCGGAAGAAGTGGCTGAGGGCGTCAACCAACAAACATGAACTACTTACGCGAACAATGACTATAGACGCGCTGACGCGCCCGGAATCACTGACAATCAATCAATCAATGTGTCTCACAGGCTTGTTGCGATGTTTAAAACTTTAAAGTTTGGCGAGGGAATGTGGGAGGCAGGCGATGTGCTCCACAAACACGTTGACAGCGCTTTCCTCCCCACGGCCGCAGGCAGATCAAATCACTCTACCTTATAGGGTGGAGGAAGGAACGGAAAGAAAATGTTATTTCATAAGGCGCTACATGGTGGTTCGGAAATTCCGCGACCTTGCCACTACATAGAAGATACATCCAGGCCCGAGGCGGGATTACCGCAAGTCGTGGCTATTTACATCGTCAAAAAGCCAGATTGATTGAAATATTTCGTGTTTCCGGGTATATGGTCGTCAGTCCCATAAGTGTAGTGAATATTTTCATCACGAGGTGGCGGTATTAATCCCACACTGAATGGTGAGATCCTGCGCCACCTACACGCCTCCACTATCCATGTATCTCGTACCAACAAGGCACCGCCCCATAGGACAAAGTCGAAGCTCCCAACAGGCATCCCTACATGTGTGGTAATGTAGTCCATGTCAGTGTTAGTGTGTGGTGAGGATGGAACAAGAAAGAGGAAGGAGAGATCGCGCACGGTCTGTGGCTCATTTCGTACAGTTCTGCTGACGACATAATAATGAGGAGCTAACTGATTAAAGATTAAATTGGGTGTATTTACTACATGTCCAAACTTCAGCTATATTCAGATGTAAATCACTATTACTTTCCAGCGCTTAAAAATTAAATGTTTCAATGTTGTACTAGTTTTAATAGCTCGATGCAATTACATTTGCAGTGATGTACCCTAAAATGGAAATTTCCTTCAACTACTATACACATTTCCTTTTCAACTTTCAGCCCATTTCTCGCTGAGACTCTTATCTCCTTATATATTGTTTCCCCAGGAGGGTCTTCTAGGGACGCGCGTTGAGCTAACCCCCTCCTTCACCCCATTCTTGCCTCTAGGCGACGGTGTTATTGCTGGGCGAGAAAGTGAGGGGGAGGAAGAATAGGTCTGATTGATTAGTAATTCCGGACGCATCAACGGCTAAGGTCATTAGTCCCGTAAGTATTGTATATTGTTTTTATGGAGGGATTTGGTGGTAATTTACCCCCGCTGTCTGGCGCGATTTGGTGCCAACCTACGCCCGCTTGTAGGAATTTTCCCCCAAACTATGTATCTCGCACCAGCGGGTAACCACCACAACCGGGACGAGCTCTAAGCGCCCCGTGCAGTAAGCGCCACATGCAGGTGTAGTGCATGTGTGTGAAAGAAAGTGGGTGAATATAGGACAAGGAGGAGGAAGGGAATATCTCGCGCAGTCCGTGGCCCGTTTGTTAGGGTACTGCTCCGGTATTCGCCTGATGTTGATCAGATAAACCACGGAAAAGTACTGATCAGAATAGCCGGTCGCTAGAATTCTCTTCCGGGCAGCGGATGAATTTCTCCTAGCAGTCTAATTTGTGTCGAAAATCTTGCCACTGACGAAACTTGAAAGACCTCCCGGTCAGAGGCACTGCATTGACATCAGTTGACGCCCTGAGAGCTACCTTTACAGACCCTTAGCTTCCTTTACTTACGGAGAATAGGGTGGGGGAGGCTGTTCAATATATTCGATATCGATAAATAAATCTATATCGATAAATAAATTCCAGACAAAGCTACGCCATCTGTTAGGGATGTCTCGGGCAAGTGAGGAGTATGCGATTATCAGGCCAATTCCTTGAGATTTTCATTGTACAGGAAAGGCAATCTTTCTTCAATGGTTTCCAGCGCCAATGAAAGAACCAGATGTACAAGATTGAGAAGCAACCAGCAAGGTAAACAAAACCATCTCTATATATCGAGCTAGAATATACGAGCCAGAAGCGCCTTCTGGAGAAACAGAGTATTCCGTCTGGCGCTGGTTACAGCCGGGTCGGTGCGGTTTGCGCGTAATATAAATCCTCTCATTGGGCGAGTCTCGCGACGTAAATTAAGGCATTAATTCAATTCAAATAACGTATTTTTCCTTTCAGGAACCAAGGCGTTTTCTACTTCACCACCAAAGATTCAGAGCCCTACGGCCGAGGAGTGGAAGGGGCCTGAACATCTGAGCAACGCAAACGAGAGCGACACAATGTCATAGAAACATGAAGAAAGTAGAGCACGAGTAGTCACAGAACGTCAGTGGGAACACCTTTCGTGTTCATACTAAGTTTACTTAATAAGTGTCGTGTTTTGTTGAAATAATTTAGGAAATATATTTTTATACATGGAAATGAATGTCCTTACTATTTTATTACTGCGAATCTAAATGAATTTTTTCTTCAAAAATGTCCGTTTCAAAATGCAAATGTATATTATGCTATGTATTATGTATATTATATTATGTAAATTACTTTACTTGAAAATCCGTCTGTTCTGATAAGAACGCCCATCTGTAGGAAAATCCGTATGTTCAAATCGCAAATATTGTACTAGAGAATATTGTGCTGTCGCAATGAACGTACTCGGGTAACTTACCCAAGATCCGGGTAGGTAGGTTCCTGTTTCTTTGCTGGCAACAGTAAGTGAACAAAAAGGTTCGATGTCACATTTTACCGGTTTTGGGTTAACGGTGGTAAACTGTTTTTAAAATATGAATTCAACTTTTATGCATAAAGGTTCGTTGTCCGTGGACTCTGTAAAATTTTGTTTGTAGAGTGTCCGTGGCGTCTGTAGAGAGTCCTTCAACTATTAATGTTAAAAAAAATGATCGATATCCGGAAAATAGAACATTTTTACTTGCTCTTCAAAATTTTAATCTCTTGGTCACCAAACGTTTTTGTTTTCTGCGATTCAAGTGTGTTTTTTGCCTGAGAACAGTGTTAACGTGTTTATTTGTGACTGTAAATAGAAGATGTTTAACATCATTGTAAAGTTTTAGGATTTAACAACACCATGGTTTTTCATCCATTCATCAATGTTTTTACTGAAATATTTACTGATGTGCCTGTTGTCTTTGAATGACGATACAGTATTTAGACGAACACATTTTAATAAATACAAAAGACACCTGTAAAACAGGTTCACATCAGTTCACTGTTCAGAAGAGAATTCATTAAAACTAAAGTTATATTAATCTATGTTATCACATTCGCATTATCAATTTTCCATTCACGATGAATGTTTACGACTAGTCAAAGAAAATACTTTTGCAAGCGTTGCGAAGTGTGCGAAATTGCTCTCTAAGTCCCCGTCAATGCGACTGGTCTGTAAGCGTGTTGCAGTACCACACAAGCCATTCTCTTGAATAAAAAAAACCAACAAGGAGCATGCTTCTAAATCTCAGTTGCTGTTTTTTTTTAATTTACTGGTCAAAACGCTGGTGAAGTGCAAAACAACCAGAGATCGACTTTGATCGACACATGTACCTACGTCTGAAGCGGTCAGTGATCTGACTTCCGCTGTTATGAACCAGAAAGTTTGATGGTCACGCAGAGCACGAGAATTCGTGTTGTGCGCATGCGCTAACATGCGGGTCATTATGCTTTTGAAGGCTGCGAGATTCACAGCCTTGAATGATGTTCTTGGGAGCGTTAGACTCCCTAGAAACAGAGAATAGAGCAACCGCCACATTTTAAGATCCTCTCACCTGATTACCTGGTAATTCAGGAGTTGAGGATAAATTATATAAATTGAAGGCAATATGGAGATTTTCAAAGATATAAATATTGATTTTGAATGTTGTTGTTTTTTTTGTATTCTAACACAAACGGTACCGCACAGTTCGAACTCTTAACAACTGAATATAAAATGGCGTAATCGGCGGCGCAAGGGATCAGCTACTCCTTGCTTCCGGAGACTCTAAGCAGTGCCACACAGATCTGCCATCTGTCGAGCTGTTTCTTGCTAGAAAATAGGCAACAGAGAGCACTGATGGTAACCGTTGAGAGATACAGGCATAATACAACATGTAGAACAAGTTTACTGTTTGTGCATAACAAAAAAAATTACATTAAATACCGAATTAAGCATAAAAATCGTAATAACTCCATGAATTGCAACTTATTTTATAAATAACATTTCATGTCTAGTTATCAATTTTATGTGTATGTATTTTAAACTACAAATAAAAATTCAAACAGATTTGTGAACAATTTTATTGTGTAATTATGAGCATTTTCGAAATTGTTTTATCAAAAAACTTGAGTACCAATTATATTTTAACTTGAGAGAGAGTAAAAGTTATTTGCTTCGTGAAATGGAAAAGCGTGCCTAAACCACTTCTAACAGCACACAGCTCGTTTTCAGCGACAGCTGACGCCGAAACCCCGTGGTAATTAGAAAATTGCCCGTTAGTGTCTGTAGTTTCGAGTGTGTCTATTATGGAAGTAATGAACGGGGCTCGGACAATTTGGTAAATACATATTTTCCCCTTAATTTTTAGCGCTGATTGTTAAGTGGAAATTCAAGTAGTGACCCATAGTTTCCGTATACCAAATTGCACATCACCGAAAATTAAATATTTTGATTACGTTGCATATTTTCATCGAAATAATAATTACTCATTTCGCACAATTTTATAGAATAAATGAGTGTGTGTGTGTGTGCATATATATGTATATATATATATATATATATATATATATATATATAATTTAATCTTGACTTTTTTTTATATATGAGACGTGGTAGATTGGAAAGCAGTGGTAGGTCACACATCACATGTTACTGTAGGACTTTCCACTCTGACTGGAGAGAGTCTTATTCATGACTTGTCAAAACATTTTAGGACAGTTGCTAACATTATTATCGATTCAGGCAATGACACACCGAGCGATAATATACATACAAAGCAGCTCCCAAATTTCCTCAGATTGCATAGACCAAAAGTGCATAGTGATAAAGAGGATGACGTCACGTTTTACTTACAATTCTGTTGATTACTGGTTTTCATATGGTATTAAATATTTTCGTCGTATTAACACATCTTTTTCACTTTTTAAGCAAATAAAAATAAATACTATTCGGCTTTTATCACCTAAAAGTCAGAGCGCTAGTAATGAACAATTTATCGATCAAATGGATGCAGTCCATTGTTCTAGAACATTTTTATGGAATTATTTGGGTGGTATTTAAGATTTCCCAAAATCAGGTTTTCGCAGTAGACAATAGACTGGATGAAGCAATTGAAGGCTACGTAAACTACTTCCCTCTAAATTTAAAGCTCGTGCTAAGTATCGACGTGTACCGTAGGTTGACAAATTATTTAATCTGTCAAACGAAGAAAGGAAATATCTTACTTTGAACACAAATTAGATTATAATATAGGCAGTAATGGAAAATCAAAATAGCTGGATTTATAACATTAAGTAATAGTTGAAATCAAACTCGCAACGTTATTCCAACACAGCGAGAGTCTAAATCTGATATTCCCAAACTTTTCCGTTCTTGCACCCCATGTAAAAGAATTGTTGGCACCATCGACCCCCTTACGTTAATCTTTATAACATATTATACACTATCATAACACAAATAATTGCTCAGATATGTGAAAAGTGTCGTACACCAATATTTTGGTAAATATCTAGATTTAAAATTATAATCGAAGACGCTCACTTCTGAGTAGCAGCGTTTCTAACCTCCGTTGTTGGGCATTGGTTACAAAAAGGTACGGCGTTTTTTGTTTGGCCAAAACATTTCTCTATGGCGTATTGTAGGGAGTATTTTATAGAATATCGTTGAATGTGATTTGTTGAGTTGTGTAAACATCTTCACCTGTGGGGTAGTCCGGTTTTCTGGTGCAGAAAGTCTCAATGGAACCCCCATCTACAATAAACGTGAAATTAGGAGTGTAAAATCTAATTTGTACAAATATAAGGAGAGAGTTAAGGAAATAAGCATAGAGTGCACTTTGTTTAGTTCTTTGTCTATATTCGTCCTCAGAGAGTGGGAGTCATCCTGTGCACCAGTTTCTTGTCTTAGCTACACGCCTCTTCCTAAGGGTACGAAAGAGAAGGGCTGGAAAACGAAAGAGGATGCACGAATTTATAATTAGTTATTACACGTTTTGCTTTCCTTCATCAGACAACAATTAACTATTAAGTTCATCTGACAGTTTTTGTAATCAATGGGATCTTGATGCGTACTATCAATCACCGGTTCATATTTTGCTACAGACCCCCAATCGATCCCTTCATCATCCCTAACCCCCTTCAAAATTTCATCGACCCCCGCCGAGGGTGTCAGTACCAACCCCGTTGGAAATCCCTATCCATTTGCCGGACGGTGTATGTGTGTTAACAAATTGTGCTACACTTGAATAAAAGTTCCCTACATCTATCAACATTTAAAAACTAATGGACCTTCAACAGCTCATATTTTCTCGTTTTATTTGTAACTTCACATATTAATATAATACTAGATAAACAAAAAAAATAATTTACAACCTGTTAAAATAGTTCTCAGGGCTGGCAACCGAATATTGTGACCTATAAAACTTCTGTAGACGGTGTCCATACCGAGTGAATCACGTGATCTTCACTGAGTCCATTGTCAAAGAACATTGATGGTTCGATTTTGACTTGGAAATATTCTTCACTCCATTGCTATTACATTGCAGAAAACAACAGATCAACGAAAATCGGTTCGATGCCATTTTTATCAGCATACTTTGTTATATATGAGCAAAAATGTAGAGAAAAATATGGAGCTACTGTTCATAAAATCACGAAAATATCGTTCCGAGTTCATGTAAAGTACTCCCAAAAAATAAAAGTCAAGGAGCCACGACATCATTTAGATTGGCCAGGGAATATAAAATTTGGTAAAAATACTGTGTACGGTTTAGACGCAAGTGTTGTTCGCAGACACAAGGTAGAACGGACGGACAGAAGTTTTGCTGAAAACAACTTATCCCGTGCCAATTGTTCCTGAAACGAGGATTTTGATTTCACTTTATATTTGAGTAAGTAATTTATACATTTGTGAGCAATAAAATCCACTTTTTTGGTGTCAAGGACCCACAAAACTAGTTCAAAAGGTCCAAAAACGGCACTTTGCCCGTAGCATTACATTACTTTATTTATTCTTCATAGTAGTATATGAGAAAATTAATTAAAAACAATTTTTTCGTAGGAGAATTCTTTCCTGGATAAAAATTCTATCTGATGCATATCATACTGCCCTATTTCCAATTTCAGATACATTATGCAGGTTCCATTTGTGTTACACCGGTCGTTGGAAGTCAATCGTCCAGCACGCACATCTTTCGATGGGGAAAGCCTCCTGAATATCCACAGGAGGTCAACAAGGGCACCGCCTCCTAGAATTCTCCTTCCAGTAGGAATACAATGAACATCCTTTTGGAGTAAGTGAACGAAAACACAAACTATTTTTAAAATCTCAAGGAAATGCAGTAACTACGAATTGCGCATGTGAAGCGCATGCACATCAGGTAATATAACTAATTCATTTCGTATGTTATTATTATATTTTTATTTATAACATCATTTTCAATTAAAAATGTAGTTTGCGAGGTAAGAAGTTTTAAATGCTCATTCTAATTATTCTACAAAATACAGTATACAGAAAATCCTATTGAACAATAGGAATAGAGTCAGATAAGATAAATAAACTTATAATGCGAAGGTCATTGTACTCTTTATCAAGGTGTTACTCTCTAGTTTGATAATCTTGGCTTGAAATTCGTATTTCTGAAGTAAGCGAATTCTGTGACCAAATGTTTGAACAGTTTTTATGCTTTGGGTACGACAACTTTAAGTAATTTGTGTGAGAAAATTTTCCTTAAAATCTTAATATTAAATTCCTTCTTCAAAATAAACATTTACTAATAAAATTGCCAAAAATAAATCTGATATCCTGATAATATTTGATTTTTGATAATATATTAAATTTAGTTTTTCTAAAGTGCCTTAATTTTCATTAATGTTATTTTTTGCAGTGGTTTAAATGGTATTTTTTCAACATTTAGGCATACCTTTACGTTCTACAATTGATGACGTTGGAAAATTATAAAATAATGACATTTCACTGAACATATAAGACTGTTTCTTCAAAGGTTCAATGAAAACATACAAAAGTTTTGAAACGGCGACCTTCAGCTGTGCTAATATGGCTAAAGCTGTGCTTGAACCCTTGTTTTATGACGACGAATTTGAACAGATTAAATGCGTGATGCTTAAATTGTGATAAAATATATCAGTAATCTTAAAGACGTGACCGTGCCTATGTAATCAAACGAACTAAACAAATTTGTCGACAGTTGGGTTTATCGCGTGGTATCGTGCAGAGACTCCAAGTACATAATTCACACATTTGCCTCGTCACCATTTCAGGCTATCGGAACGTACTGATCTTCCACCTAGTGTTTTTTGAGTGACACTGAACTTTCAATCTTCTATTGAAAGTTCTCTAAAGCACAATAAATATTCCTAACAAAATGTACTATACTTTCTTACATACATAATACAGAGAGAGTACAGTAATGTTGCAGCAAGTAAAGGTGATTTTTCGACAGAACGTTCATATTGTAGGGCCCTGTTACCATTTTCTAATAAATTGTATTCGATTGCGCAGACAGAATTTACGTTTTGAAAGTCATTGATACGAAAAATTGATTTGGGGTAAAATATCGGTGTCTCTGTGATCGAATTAATGAAAGAAGTTGATAAAGAATGGCCCATTTTTTTCTTTTTTTGTTGTTGTTTTTATTTTTGGGAAAAAGCAATCGACGTTTAAAGACAGGCGAAAATTACATTTTCGTTGAACTCTCTGAATGTTCAAGAATAGCAAAAGTTCGAAATCTTTTCGGCATGTTCCTACAACTGCAATATTAAAGATAAAGAGTTTTATTTTCTCGCTACCACTTACGCAGTAGGGAGAAATATGTGGAATCCTGGGAAAAAGAGCCGAAGGATCCGCAGAAAAACTCTTATTGATGATATTTTAGCCAAGACATTTTCAAAATTTTCAAAAATATGGCTCCTTCGTTTTTTGATTAAACTTTGTCATTGGGTTGTATGAAAGACGATTAAGAGAAAAGTGCTTGTATCATTGTCGTTGAAATCTATGATTTGGCCGAAAATTGCATTAGTTCGAAATTTTTCGGCATCTTCCTCCAATTATGATAGAGGTTTTTCCCTTGTTGCTTAACGATAGATTTTAAACTAACGTCAGGTATAAATTTTCGAAAATTTGAGTATTTTTCTCATAACTTCGCGTGAAATAAGGCAATTTTTAAATTTGTTTAAACATTTTTTCTCAAAAATTGCATTAACAATTTTGATTAAATGTTGACCTCAAATAGCTGTGTAAGACACTTAAGAGAATGGTGTAAGACTCATGTTCGTTGAAATTTCTAATTTTTCGAAAATTAAAAAAAAATATATTTTTTCGGCGAACTACAACTGTGAAGATATTTTTTTTTTCTAATGAAATGTGTTCATCAAAAACAGTCTTATTCAAATTCTCGAAATAAAGAGCATTTTTTGTGTAATTTGACATAAAACATAGTCGACCGCTTCGAATTTCCCGTGCTTCGTGAACATAATGGAAGTGATTCCAGACAGTTGAATGCTACGTAAGTTGGGAAATATTATTGTTTCATATTTCTTTGTTCATTTCTGACATGGGAGCTTTTGATATACGTTCACAAATTAATATTTTAGAACATCTTTAAAACCTATTTCAAATATATTAAAGAAAAATTGCTAGCTTTAGCGAATATCAGATTGGAATGCAACAATGGCACTCCGCTCCGGGAGACAGCAGCTGAATTTCTGCGAGTTACGTCTCATTGTTGGGACATGTCGTAGGTGTATGAAAAGCAGCTATAAGTGTTAAACATGTGTTCACATTGGCTTGGAAATATTAACCTTTTGCACCAAATGTTCTACGATGTGTAATGATCTTTATAAAAAATGATAACTGAGATGTGGTTATTCTGAGAGAAATGGCGGTATAAATATTATTACATAACCATTACTACGGGAGAAAAAGTACGTACAGTTTTAGCACCTCTAGTTTCTTCATATC